CTCAGGCCCAGCCTAAGTATATGATTGGTCAAGTTGATGGAGGCTCGCGTGACAGCCTCAGTGGAAGATGTATAATGCGAGTTCAAAATGTCTGCTTGAGAGCGAAGCAATTCTGTGCACAAGGGCAGCCGCTAAATCACTTAAGCCAGAGAGTGAAGAGTGATATAAAACATTTGACGTGATATGGACCAAGTGCTTTGAACTCGGCAGCCAAGACCATCAGGCAGTGGGATGAGAAGAACGTGTGGGACGAAAGAGAAGGAGCAATCGCTAGACATTTTTGTTTGATTTTGGACAGCTAGAAACTAACACACACACGCACACACCCCAACACACACACACACACACACACACACACACACACAAAATAATAAAATCTGAGTGTTTGTAGATTATTTGTGTTTGTGTTTATATCTTATGGATGATGTCTAGCTAACATGTGAACCAGAAAATTTGATACATTTATATTAATATTAATAATAAATTAGAATGTTTATTTATTTACAGTTATTTGTTACTTTTGAAGGATATATAGAAAAGCACTTTATATAATATTTAATTTTATTTAATCAACTATTTTTTAATTAGGTTTCCTTTTTTATTGCTGAGAGGAAAAACATGTTAATCTGAACATTTCAAATTTACTACAGTTTAGTCAGAAGGATGAATTGTAATTAATGACTGAGTAAATTTAAAAGAAGTTATTGGTAAAGTGCCTCAAGATGACATTTATTATGAATTCACACTATATAAATAAATTGCATTAAATTAAATACTAATTATATTATTCAATTTCCAGGTAAAAGTCTTGTTGAAATTAAAATGTTTTTTCAAGACTGATTTAGACGTGGCTGATGTAATAAATCAAGTCTGGGTCATGGAGGTATGTTATTTATGTCTAAAAGGATTAAGAAAAATAGGAACAATATTGAAAGCGGGAAACTGACAAAACAAGACATTTGTGTATAAAGCTAGACGCTTCACTTCAAATAAATGAATGAACAATTCCAGGCAAGTGATGCATATGAGTTTGAAGGAGATTCGATAGTGTGTATTTGTACAAAGATTTTTTTTTCTGCAGTACAATGAATATTGTGGAGCTGGCTAGTTTCAGGGCTTTGTTTCTTGATAAATCCAGCAAGAATGTAAACCTGGATCTCCTCTCACCGTACAGCAGAACAGCTGCTTGCCCATGCAACACATAGACGCACACATCGACACACAATCCTCTTTACACACACATGCACACACGCAGTTTTCACAAACAGGCCGCCGTTAGCTGTTTTAGGATCAAATTAAGGTTGCAGGAATTTCACACTGATGGTAGATACGAGTAGGTTCACCTGCTCCATTTTGTTGTATTGACAGATGAAAGACGGACTTAGCGAGATTAGATCATGCTTCACATTTGTGTGGAAAAGCTGAAGGCTTCTTGCAAGATATACAGTAATCCAGATGAGTGACACCACTATGCATGTTGGACATTTCTGATTACCCTGCATCAGCGCTGAATTTCTACATGACGAATAAATCAATTGACACCAGATGCTTTGATAAGGATCATATAACTAAAATATGTTCACATAAATACTCATTGAATCGTTTCAGTGATGCACTCAGTCTTCCACGAAAACAAATATAAATTTAAAAAATAAAAAAGCACATGCACTCTCATATATCTGCAGCTTGGATATGCACTCTCACGGCCTCACCCAGGCAGAGTGTGTTTTCTTTCAACGGCGCCACTGAAAAAACAGTCTGACATTTAACCAGCAACTCTGGCCTTGTGCACAAGCAAACAAACACGAACCCAGAATTACAGCCCAACAACACACTAATTGTCTATTACTAGTGTTCATAATTAAATAATTAAGTTAAACATACTTTAGAGTCTCTGGAAACAAAAACAACTATTCTCACACTCCCACAATCCCACTAATAAAATATTTTACTGAAATAGAAAAAACTATATTAAAGTAGTGAAAAAAAACTGTTTTAATAATTTCACCACTTTTTAGTAAATCGCTCTCCTGTCTTCTTTCATTTGAAAATATACAATGATGTGAAAAAGTATTTAACTCTTTCCAGATTTTTTTCCATCGATGCTTCTTTGTTTTCAGATTATAGAAAAAAAAAAATCAAAGACACCCTGAGTACAAAAAAAAAACTGTTTTTAAATTATGATTTCATTTAATGTAGGGAGACATTTTATTCAGACCACCATGACATTTTGTGAAAATATGAATGCGCCATAAACCTAGAAGACATGCGTTTGAATAAATTTGGGACACTTTTGATGAACCGAAATAAATCTCGGAATAGTTTTGGAAGGTCACTCTGTACAGATTTTTCCCCGGATCATGTTTTTTTTTTCCAATTGTAGATGGTGCCTCTCACTCATTGGACTCTCAAAGCTTAAGGAAATGCATGACATGTGCCTTTTTAAGATAATTTAGCCCACTTTATGTTGTCAGGGAGATTGTTTTGAGTGATTCTTCAGCACAAATAGCAACCAGATCTAGGTGTGGCTTGTAAAGTTCAACAACAACGTCCAAGACATAAAAGTTAATTTGCAATTTAAAATGGGGGAAAATGTTATTTTTGTGGAGGCTTGTGTGGACAGGTTTTTTTCTTCTTAGCAATAAAAATGTAATTTGAAAACTTACATTTAAAAAAACAAACAAAACAGAAATCCAATGGCAATGGTCCAGTTAAATTTTTACAGCTGATTTTGCGGGTTTAGCTCAGAAATAATAGACATTTTTAATAGATTTCTCAATTTAAAATCACAGTAGATTGTGCAAATACAATTAAAGGTTTTCATGTCCACTTACAATTAAATTTAAAATAGATCACAGACTAATGCGATAAAGCATCACACAATGTTCCGGCTTGAGCATCTGTAACATGTCTACACTTGATAAACCATCTGTTTCGATCATTTTTCTCCATGTGTGCAGCCTTGTAAATATGTTTTCCTCCTCTTTATGGTACCAGCATATATGGTGACCTAACGCCATTTGGCCATCTATCTGTTAACACAGAGGGCCTGGTGAGCGTGCGGCATGATGGGGGCCCCTGACGGCTGCTTGCAGGGGCCTCTTGGTGCAGCTGTCCCACTCCGTAGTAACACAAGACCTTATTAGAGTCCATTAGAGCACTCTGAAACTAATAAGAGATTGTCAAATACATCCAAACATTCACACAATTCACAGAGACGTAGGAAGCGAATGGAGGGTGACAGCGAAGCGGGAGGGGTGAGGGGCTGCATGTGTGCGCACGCGTGTGCATGTGTGTGGTTGTGTTGATGGGAGTGCAACCTATATGTCCATATCATCATTCCATTATGTCTAACAAACTTGTTCTTTTGTTACATTTTTGAAAAAAAAGCCTGAATAACAGAAACAAAAATGCAACAAAAATATGACAGGTTATGTACTTTTTCTAGGTTTTGAAATGCATATTAATTTGATGTGCATTTCATTCCCGGTCTCTTGTTTATTACGTTGTTTTTTTTCTGACTTTATCCAGCCATGCTGACTAAAATTATCCTTGCATCTGGGCGATGAGAAAATGCTTGTCTGGAGTCCAGAGTTCCAGAAAAAGAGCGTCCCCTGGCCCTGACAGCAGGGGCTTGACCTAGTAGACTGCCTTTGATCTTTAATTAACACCGGGCATGTCTCTGGAGAGAAAAGCACTGATGAACAAGGAACCGATTGGGACAAGCTCCAAAAGCCGAGAATGCAAAATGGAATATTCTTTGCCGGGATCCTCAGTGTTGTTTCTGCTTTAAAGCATTGTAGGAAGTTTTTACTGTACTTGCACATCCAGAGACAGACATTGGAAAAACCCCAAGATCAGTAAGATTATGTTCTCTGTCTGAATCTCGTCTTTTGCAGCTTCTAACAAGTTTTCTCTCACAATTGCCCTGTTTTTAGCTCCATTTATCTTCCCATCAACTCTGACCAGTTTCTCTGTCCCACAACAAAACATTGCAACTACCATTCTTCACCCTGAGGATGGTGTAATTAGGGTTCCGTGTGGTTTGTTTCACACTCTACATAGCATTTGGCGTGAATGCCTAAAAAAATATGCTTATATCACTAAACTAGAGAAGACATTAGAGCTATGTGGCTGTGACCTCTACAAGTTTCTTCCAGGTTTCTTGTGTATCCTACATGGACTTTGACAAACTGCAAACAAAGCTTACTTTATGGCTTTCTTTTATACATTGCTTCTTATTAGCACATCTCTGAAGACCGGATTGTGATCCACATCAAATGACAGATGGATATCTGCCTCTGCTCCAGAGTTTTAAACATTTAAAATTGATAAATTACATTCTCCTGCTTCAAATCTACATTGTAGTTTGTGTTGGTCTGTAAGACATTTTTCCAAGGAACTACAACAAGAACCAGTTCCCTTTCAAAACATGTGTGAAGATTGTGCAAGCAGCAGAACAGTCATGATGACCAGACATTGATATACAAATATATTCACATCAATCTCAGTTTAACCTCCTGCCATACTTTCACCCTCACCCACAATCATCACCACAGCTATTTCGTTGTAATCCACTCCAGTCTACTCCCTTTATCGGACCTGTCTTTGCAGTTCTAGCTAAAATCTTCCAAAGATAATGATGTGTCAAAGAAAAGGTTACTACCAAATCACTGCCGGCTGCACCCGCCTGCTGACGCACCTGGATAACACATCGTCTACATATAGAGACATACATGTGTACAGCTGGACAACCTATCCAAAGACACCTCAGGAGCCTTGGATTTGTTTGAAGGTTTTCCAAACAAAGACCAAGTATTTCACATTAAAGCCCTTAAACTGACAGATATGAAGTGTAGAAGTCTTTCCATCAATTTGTGTTTTTGCAGCCTTGGAAAGTACTCAATAAGATCTCAATAAGCCAATATCTCTTCCACATACAGGAAGAGAAGAGACATTGGATATTAAAGTATGCAAAACATTTTTAAAAAGTTTCTTACTTTGGCAAGTGCTGATTCTCTCCTCGTATCCTGGGTTACAGAGACACTTCCCAATAGGGACGAGCCACTCCCCCTCTGTGCTGCAGTACATTCGTGGAGGTTCCTCCTCTTTTGAGAAATTGACACACAAGCCTTTGACCTCAACCAGGGACTGGGAATCCATGGGCACAGTGTCAGGGAAGGAGGCCAAATTCTTCACAGTTTGTGGACACTTTTTAAAGTAAACTCTGACTGAAACTAAAGCCACACAGGCACCCACGTCCTGGAATGCCAGGTAGAAACCTTTCTTGCTCAAAGGGCCCACCTCCCGCACCTCAGTGTTGAGCTTGAGGATGCGATCTCCAAGGTCTGTTTGGGTAAAGCTCTCATCGGCTGCAATGGTGTCAATCTTCTGAAACTGATGCTCCCTGAAGTGGCTCCCCTGGTCATCGTCTGTCTCCAGGTAGAGGAGGTTAAAGGTCTCCTTACATGTGCCAAGGACCAGTGGGATGGAGTTGCAGTCCCGCAGGGTGAACTTCAGCTCCACGTAGATCTTCTGCGCCGACTGGCGAGGGATCCAGTTGGTGCGAAGCCAGTTGTTCTGGCTGTACTCTATCACGTTGCAGACCTGGAAGGTCCTGATGGGGGTGTAGTGCTCGTCCACGCCGCTGATCTCCTCCCACTGCAACAAACGAAAAGAGGGAGGGGTCGAAAGGAGAAGCAGAGGGAAGCAGGAAGGAATAAAAGAACAGGAATACAGCGAATAAAGAAAGTAGTGAGAAAATTAGGAAGTGAAAATGGGAGTAAAGAAGGTGAAAAGAGAAGAAAATAGAGGCAAAGAGATTCATATAATGTTGAAGACAATTAGGGGTTTAGAATTAGAGGAAAAAAGAGGGAAGGAGGGGAGATAGAGAGAAAAATAGTTATCTCCACCCTGTAACCATTTAATGATGAATTATTTAGATCCAGTTTCATTCTTTCTGAATACTAAACATCTAATAAACACTTAAGGGTGAAAAATATCACACTACCAGATCTTTTGTAAATGATTCAAATTAATTAAAAGCAAACTTGCTGCCATAGCCAATTTTTCTCTATTAGGATGCTGTGAAAATATCTCTAAGATAAGCCATGAAGTGTGATGTTTCCATCTCAGTTGCTCTAAATTTGTGTGAAGCTGCATAAGTAATATCAAATATTAACAAAAATCTCATAGTGTTTTTTTCACCCTTACACTAACATGATCTCTTTAATTTCTCTAATAGTGAGGAGTTTCAAGCTGTAGTCTTTGTTATTTGCATCACAGAACTACTTCTACTTAAAAAAGAAAACGTGCTGAATCCACTAAAAGAAACAAAAAGAAGCTACGAGGTATAGACAGATGTGAGTGTATACCAGGAACGTTCGTGTCTATCTTACATTTTCCCTCCACTGGGAGAAAGCAAAGAGAGGAGAGGAGAAAAAGAGAGCTGGGTCATTCCTTTTGAATTCAACACAGCGGGAAGACTCATTGATCATGCTCTTCGGCTTTGCTGTCCAGGCAAATCAACATTGAGTCACAGCAATGAGGGATGGACACCTGTAACAGTGGGCTTATAATGGTTAAGATGAGATAACGGGTGTAAATGAGGAAATGGTTTTTCTTTTTAGTAAAATTTTAATAGAAATTTGCCTAAATTATAAGTCATTTTGTTGTATTCAGATATGAAAGAGTTCATTAATTCATGAAGACTTGAAAAATTATTAGTACCGATGTAACTTTTTCACATTTTGGTGCATTTAAGATTCTATGCAATAGACCAACATAAAGAGAAACTATTCTTATGCATTAACAATTCAGAACTGTACTGTCCCTCTCAATCATGATGTAAAACTCCATTCCACATGCATCTATGGCTGCATGTGTTTTGGGGGTAAAGTCTGATATTTCTGTCCATTCTTATTAGAAAAGTATTACAAGTAACTGGATTCTACCTCCATTCTACCCATTCTACCTCAACTCTGTGCCTACATTTACACAATTTCAAATGTAAATCTTGCTGTATACTTACTGTGCATGTTCCCTAAATTTAGCTTGATCAAATGTTACATCAACTCTGAGCATTCATATCCATATTGAGATTAAAATACATACGCAAGGACTCTATTTCATAATTATGCAACCTCTGAAATCTATTGGTTAGACTGGACTAACGGTGTTCAGAGTAAAGAGGGCAAAATAAAAAAATTACAAAACTGTCTATGTTAAAACAAACAAAAAAAAAAAATCATTGAAGACTTTGCATCCTTTTTCTTTGCACTTCGTGGTTGAACGTTGTGTTGGTCATGTCTCATAAAATCACAGTAAAATACACAGAGGCTTTTCAGGCCAAATAAAAAAAAATTAAGGGGTATGAATTTTTTTGGAAGGCACCGTAGACAAAAGTAAAAGCCTTAAAAAGTAAAAGCAGAAGTAGTAAAAGAGAGGGACATAATTAAAGGAAATGTCAGAGGGAGAGATTTCGTTTGTGTTTAGTCTCTCCCGTCATGGTTCCTTTGGCATCGCCTCATTCATCTCAGAGCAGTGAACGGTCCCTGAAGCTCTTGCAATAACAGGGAAATGATGGGAGAATTCAAAGGAGTTAAATATAGAGGTGAAACTAAAGTTAACATTTCACCTGACTGTACTCACAGGTTTAAATGCTCAGCTATAAATACAAGCACAAAATGATGTGATGACAAGCCAAAAAGGGTTGCTGACAGACTTTAACAGAGCAGAAACCAAAAGGAGGACTAGCTTTGTCACAGTGATTACTGACTGCTGACATTGTGTTTGATAAGAAAATCTACTTGTTTGAACACACTGACAAATGTGCATGCTTAAATGTGTTTTTCCATTATCATTAAAGATTTTGGTGTTCGTTTGCATTTTTAGGTCAACTTATATTGATGATTTTTTTTTTTTTACAGAGCAGCAGGTTCCCAATTTTTCCAGCAATTCACAAAAATATGTTTACTATGTCAACAAGATAGTGGTACTAAGTGAACAATATACTAATTAAACTTTAAACAAGAGTCTGGATATTTAAATATTTTATTATTTACAACTGAATTTTTCATTTATTTTAACTCTAATTTTATGTGTTGAAGTTAAATTTGTGAATAACTTGTTCCAGATGCATGTCACCCCTGTTAAAACATGTTGGTTCTGATTCATGAATCACTTTGTGTAGCATACAAACTTGAGTCTACATATTCACTAGTATTGAAGATAACTATTTTAATATTCATAAATATTGCAAAACCTGGCTTTAAATAGATTATCACCAATTATGGTGATTTAACAAATCAATGTTTCATTTGAAGGAAGTCATGGCTGTCCTATCTGGTAATTTTGATAAAAATCAAAGAGGTTCCAAGATGAATGCATGAATCAAAGCATAACTTCTTCCTTAGAGCTTCAATAGACTATTACTGAGTTTGAGATTTTACAATTTACAAACACGATAAAATTAGTTTGAAACTGCCTCCACAAAACAGAAAGATTCACGATGAGTTAAATTTGACCACAACTTTGAGGTAATTATCTTGTTCTGCTGCATTCAGAGCATCTGTTTTTCTGTTTGAAATGCTCCCTGGATTTTCTACTCTGACTTCCTCTGCATGTGTGCATTTGTAAAACATCACAACTGTGTGCTGACTCTAGAGCTCAGACCTCAAGACCACATAAAGGACTTCATTTTGACAGCATACTCTTACATTTCACTTCACTCTGCATGTCTTCATGCATCAGTCCCACATTTTAAGACAGTCTACATCTCAATATGTTTATTGTGAACTATCCAAGCGAGTTCAGACTGAGACATGTATTTCTTTAGATAGGCCTATTCTGATTCAGAAAGACACAAATGATAACACAGATAACACGGATAACACAGTAGGTGTTATCCGTTGCAGGTAATATATAAGGTTTGAATTTAAAACTAAATACCCGCTTTAAACATGTGTCAACCTCTTACTGAGACGATGAAACTTTTGGACAGTTCCAGGTAGAGGAAATAGCAAGATTATCCATCTTTCCAAACATTATTAGTTTTATTTTATACATCTTTAATATTTTTTAGAAAACTAAAGGTGGATTATTTGCTAATCAGGAAAAAGAAAGCCATCACCTTATACTTCTTCAGCACAACTCTCCTCCTCGTTGTACTCTAATTGATATATAACAACATAGTGACCCTACACTAGTCTGTTTGACCTCTGACCCTGACCCTTAACGGTCGCAGCTGAGGCACAGGTTGGTGTGATGCTGCCCTGGGTTCTCTGATCTGTGCTGTAGGTGAAGGCAAAACGGACAGTAATGAAATGTGGTAACTTGAGCTGATCAACACATAGCTATGGCGACAGGACCTCCTCAAAAGCACCTAGTCAGCACTCTAATTCACCTAGTTCAAAGATGTTAGGGCCTTTGGTAGTTAAAGGGGGGCTATATAGGGTGACAAAGCACTTAGATGTAACAGTGACTGACAGATTTTGGAGAAAGTAAAATAGATCCACACCTGCCAGGAGTATAAAACACATTTTTTTCAGAATTAACTTCATCATTGAAGAATATTCCACATTGGTGCGTTCAGATCTGAGTTAAGAATGTATTTTGATCAAATTGGCCGTGAACCAGCTTAGTGTTGGGTTTGAGGATGATCTGACGAAGGGTGTTCTTTTTATGGCTTAGGGTTATAAAAGAGCTTGAGTCATGCATGCATTTGGCATCTCCATCAAAGACACGGCCTTGGCCTGAATGCAAGATTTGTGCAATCATATATGATATCACTAGTTCAGAAAACATAACCTGATGTGCCAGATGGTCTGCTTCATGGAACCATCTGGAAAGTTCTTCTGGAGTTTTAACTATGCTCAGAAAAAAAACATAATTGTAATCATTAGTAAAACAAACAATGTTGCATGAGTAAAGTATTGACTGATGATATTGCTAGTGAGGACTGCTCTTAAAAGCTGAATTACCTATGACAGGTCTGCACCTAAAAACAACAACCGGGCAACTGCGTGGCTATTTCATCAGCCGAGCCTCGAGATGAGTGGATGACTCTTAATTTGGTGAGCCTAGTTAATGCTTTTAGAAATATTAAAAAAAAATTGCTATGGGATGCAAAATTTATCGGAGTTCTCTAAAAGTTTGTGTTAAAACAGTTTTTGAAATATTAATATAAGTGCTATCATTCTGAAACATATGGATTATCATTTTTATTTTTGTAGATTGACTATTTTCCAAAGCCAACTCATCTCTTTACTTTAGCAATAATGATAATAAAATGAAAATAAATATTGACTTTCAAAAGCCCAGAGTTCTAAATATTGAATCAACAGCAGCGGCCCAGCCCAGATCGGCTCTTTTCTTTTGAATCTAAGATATTGAACACATAAGAAAATAAACTTTCTGACTTGTGACTCAATGCAAGAAAATTATGAAAACAATGTGAATCCCTGGTGTAATACTTTCCTTGTCATGTCTTGTCAAGCGAAGCTCCTCAAATGTACAAACACATTTCCATACCGCACTGCATGTGTGAAAGCAGCTACCTAAACTTGCTTCAAACAAATTAATGTTGGTAGCCATGAATGATGATTTGACATACTGCAGCAATAAGCCAAGTTCCTGGCAAAGACAGCCACGTTGTATCCCCCGTTGCTTTGAAGACTGTACTTCACTTTGTATGTACCCATTAATTCTATTCTGCATGCAGAGCCGGTGTCTGGGGTCTTGGTTTGTTGCTGAAGAATGCTTTCAAAGCATGCGAGAATGTAATCTTTAACAGTCTTTAGTGATGGGTTAAGCCCCCCGGACACTGCAAAGCAATCAGCCTGCCTCCCAGACAGATAACAGTATATCTGGATCAAACACACTCAAACACACAGACGCACAGCCATCAGTCCATTCGGTGGCTCCCGAGTGAACATCCTGGGGAGGCTAAGCTCTTAATTTGTTCTGACCAGAGCACGTTGCGTCTCCGTAGGCCAATAGTTGAAGCTTCTCTATCAGTGTGAATGAGTTTGTATCTGCGTGTATATGCGAGGGAGGTAGAAAGGGTTCTCCGCTGTAGCCACACATTTGGAGAAATCATTTCTGAGCAGCGGTCTCCGAGGGGCATGCTGCTTATCAGAGCGAAGTCAGTGGATGACGTGAGTAATTACAGATGATTCACCTTGAGGACCTGATCATCAGCAATATTTATCTGTGTCTGTGTCTCTGACTTTCCCCCCTCTGAGCTTTTCCTGCTTTCTTCACAGCCTTCCGTTCACCCTCCTTACTCATCTTTTTCATCTCCCTGTCACTCATTTCTCTTCCAGTCTCAAAAATGAAGGTTCTCCGGTCAGACGAGACAGGCAGCATCATCCTGTGGGAAGTCTTTCTCACGAAAGAAGAATGGGTTTTACTCAAATAAGATGAAAACTGAACTTTTTATTCAACATACAAAGTGCTATGTAAGATGGAAAACTCACATTGGACATCTCCCTCAACACATATCTAGTGATATATCACAACAGAGGCAAATACTTTACAACATAAGCCTGATTATTGCCAACATTTATCTGTCTACATCTCTGTCATTTACTCCTTCTCTCATTTTCAACACCCCTCCATCTATTCTTTCTCCTCATCTTTTCAACCCTTAGCTAATTCCCTGCTCATTCTGCTTGGAAAGGTTCTCTGTAGGGAAGCACACCAACGGTCATTCTCACAGCACTTTTACAAGTTGAATAACCACAAACTTGTTATCAAAACTAGTTCAAAGAAGAAAATGTGAAATAAAACGGACATTTCTCTGCAAACTGCATAACCTTTGTCGCACATTCCAATGGCCAGGGCTGTATCACGTACCCGTATCAGTGCTCATTTTCCTAGTTGCTCTCACGCAAATAACTTTAGCCAGCACATCCATCTCTTCCCTCAGTTAGTCGCACAGTTGCAATTGTGTAGTCTGCAATCGTCTGTAGACCAAATGGATTTTAAAGTGCATGCAGTTTTTTCTGTGATTCTTATTTTTTATTTTTTTCATTGCGGTTGATCCTCTTTGGAGAAGCTCGGCATACTCCGACAGTGCCAGCGCTGTATACGGCCGAAGGAAACTAGGTTTGGCAGTCCAATGGAACAAATGACGGGATTACCTTAAGCTACTGCCAAAGAGTAATTCTAACACTTAATAAAGGAAAAACAGGGAATTGTGTATGTGTGTGTGTGAGAGAGAGGGGGAAAGTTTGTGTGAGTCTGTGTGAGAGAGAGTAAAAGAGAAGTGGGGGTGGTGGGTGACAGGAGGCCAGCCCAGAGGCGCAGGAGTCTAACTAGTTAGACAAATAAACACTGAACAAGAGCCCACTGGAGGGCTTTGGTGGAGAAAGACAGACTCGCAGATGATAGAGGCTGCATTTTCTTTTATATTTCACAGCTTTTTCCTATATCTTCTTTACATGGAGTGTTGCACTATTTACAAAAATGTGATGTGTTTTGAATTTAGTAGGAAAAAAGGACAGTTCAAGATTTTTCAACATATGTCCGAGCTGCAGAATGAGCAATATGCTATGTAAACTGTATTTTACTCTCATTCATACATCGGTTTCATGATTGTAAACCAGAACTCAAATTTTTAAAGGGTGACAATGCATGGAATTTTTTTTTGAACCACACAGAATTCAAAAAAATCTTCAAGAAAATAAGATTGTGATTACTATTTTGTGGATGTTGCAATTAAATAAATTAAATTATTTTACATTTTACATTTTATCTCTTCTCCTAATTGATTAGGAGTACCTTACATTGGTTTCCAGATATTTTTTTTAAATGATTTTATAAGAATAATCAATACTCGTTCAATTCACAATAAAAAAAACATACTTTTTATTCTATGGTAAAACCTTGTGAACAATAACATTTGTTTTAAATTATGTGCTAAACCTTTTCCTACAAATGCAAATGTGGTGAAAAAAAAACGTTTGATATCAAAATAGAAAATGCTGTGATTTGAAGTAACTCAAATAATGTCCAACAAATGAGACTGCTAAGTTTGCATGCATTATATAAACACCATCAATGTTGTTCTTGTGATATTTTCTTAGAGGTAGTCATTTTATATCTCTTAAAAGGATCATCTAGGGCCAACAATCTGAAGCCCGTTGATTCTTTAATTTCTTTTTAAACACACAAATATTCAAATGTTCAAACAAGAGCACATGAATGCCGTACAGTTTCCCTTAAGTATCTCAAACATATGGCACACTGAATACTTAACCTTTGACCTGCAAGATGAAAAACAGGCAAAAACGTCTGAGAGAGTGGGTTAATCTACACTTGATTCTGTTTTCCAATAAGAGGATCAATGGAGACTAAACATCATGATTTTTGTGGTTTAAGTCTTCATGCAGTTCAGGCATGATTAAAGTGGTGAAGGTAAAAGACGTAAAGATACTCACCCCATGTGACGGGTAGGAAATCCATCCTAGCTCCCCTTGGCTTGCTTTGGAGTCTAACAGGTTAACTGTGGTAGGAGAGAAAAGGAAAAACAGACAGCATATGAGTGACCAGTTCTTGTTAGCCCCAATTAGCCTTCATTTAATCCCAAAGGAGAAATCTCCAACCTCAAGGACTGATTATTTACTCAGCTGCCACACACTGTGACTCACACGATGGCATTAAATGGCTCCATGGCTAACTTCGTGAAGATAGTGATTCAAATAAAGACTCTTTGTTTCTGTTTTAAGCCTTTACTGTTATTAAGACAGTATAATGCTGTGGAATATTTTGTTTTCAGGAGCAAGAGGCTGATTGAACAGAGTTGACTGGAAGAAGTTGAGTCAATTCAAGCCAACATCTGAAAATAGAAAGATGATAGGATGAGATCAAAACTGAACTTTTTGACTTACATGCATGATGGTCTAAGATTTTTTCAACACATTATCCCCACGGGAAAAAAACCCCAACACAAAACATGGTGTTGGCAGCATCATGATGTGGGGATGCAAGAACAAGTATGCTGGTCAAATACAATGGTTTAATACAATGACTGGGTCTAAATCTGTTTTAAGACATTAAATTGTAATAATGTAAAAAATGATGTGTATAAATTATGAAAAATTGGAACTTGTAATTTCATTATTTGAGTGAACTGCAATATAAACTTGATCAGGATATTAAAAGTTTCTAAATGGATATGCGAGTGCTAAAAGTTGACTTTCACAGTAATAGAAGGAGCAAACCTCTTATCCATGTGAAAGGGAGAACCCAATGCTTCAAACCCGCAGAATGTTTCAGGATACTGACAGAGATGCTGAGATGTTAAGATTGTTTAAGCTTATATTTAGTAACTATTAGGTTCTAGGTTAATGATCTTGACTGTTTGATTGTAAGCCTTGGTAATAGGTTTACATGAAAGAATTAAATCATGCATCTCTTAGCATAAGACTTTGAAAATTTAGCATCACTCCTCAGACATTCTTCTGCCTCTGTGGAGTTTAAGCCTATGAATATGTTTTACAACTAAAATAACCCTCCTTTTTCCATTTAAGGCAATTGCTGGATTTTAGTTTGTATTAGCTGAATATGTTTTCTCAACTGTGAAAGAGGTTTATATTGCCTGGAAAACTACAAACACCCTGCATAAGACACAGATAAACACAGAAAGCATATCTTTCCTTGCAGGTATTGTGAAGGTGGTGAACAAAAAATACAGCCAGGATTTAAAGAAGCCGAGAGACAAGCTTAGTTTCAAAGAGTCATGCTTTTGACCCATTCAAGCACCAGCCTACCTTGCTGCACACTCATTCATGGTGACAGAAGTGTAACCAGGTAAAGCAAAAGTGCTTCAAATCAAAATTTAAATGCAATCACCACTTTCAGAGGTTGTCCAAAATTCCATTGGCCACACTATGACCAAAATATGAATCCATTTAGAAAGAATGGAAATGTAGCCTGCATGTGTGTGTGTGTGTGTGTGTGTGTGGTGTGTGTGTGTGTGTATGTGTCTGTGTGCTCAAGAAGCTGCTCTTTTTTTCAAAAAGGCATTCAACAGCAGATAGAGTAAATCCATGTCTAATAGAGGAAAAATGACATGGGACAAATAAGACAAGGAGCTCAATGGTGCTGTGATGGAAGCTGGGACACTGGAAAACAGTTTTCTGTGGTAAGTTGATGTCATAACCTTGTCAGTGGAGCAGAGAATCAGAGTTTTATTTTATTTTCTTAATTCTCCAGCGCTGATAGAAATTCTATGACCAGCAGTGCAGGTAAATAGTACTATTGGAAAGTGTCGTTCCTGCTGATGGATATGTTGAACAAATTACCTCTGACATACAATGTATTCCTTGAGCTCTGAATTGAATTGGAGCATTTTTTTTGCTGTTGTATTCTCGCAGAGTGAAAGATTGCTATTGAAGCAGGCTGTCAGTATAGATCACGCAGAAAGAAGGATATTGAGACGGCTTATTTGCTTAACATAAACTTGACTTCGGTAGGCAAACTGTCACTAGCAGAAACACAAACTTGAGATACAAATCAAACATCCAAGTGTTGGACCTCCAGCCATGAAGGAAAATTAATCCCACAATGCACTGCATCAACCCACTTTGAGATTCAACAGGAAGAGGAGGAGTTTTAGGAAGGAAACTGTGCGGGGTCGAGGTCTATGGTACACCTTTGGAAAGGTTGATGTAATGCATCCGTTGCCAGGTAAAAGCCACAGATCACCGCTTGATGCTGCTTTACCATTGCTGGAGAGCCATGCCAGTCTGATGCTGATCTGAAAGCGCCAGGTTGTGAATCGGTAGTACAACATGCTGCAGCTGCTGGCCGATATTTTTCAACATTTATTTAAAAAAAGTTTCCTCATTTGTTCAGAAGCACAACTGAGAACCTCATCTGAATTTGCAAGTGTCATGCAGAAGGCAGAACTCTAAGCTGTAACTCAGTTTGCCAATTTTTGGTTGAGAAAATGCTCATTAGTTTAATGTTTTTATTAGTGAGCTAAAAGACTTTCCAAAGCAGGTTTTTTTTCTTCTAAAGCCACAAAAAATCACAAAGCAAAGCAAAAGAAATCCCTGAAAGGTTACTCTTCCCACAAACTTGACTCATCTCTATAGTTCATTTCCTTCCAAAAGCAAAGCGATTTAGATCCAAGCACGTACAAACAAGTAATGTGCACACACCCATAGCAGAGTGAAGCAGCAGTGCAACTAGACCTTACAGCTGTGACCTCAAGCACTGCAAACACACACTCCCTGGATCCTCCTGGTAAAACTAGCATTCTGGATCCAGTGATGATTTTTTTCCAAATGTCATCCCAGGATAGCTGACAACAATCTAATATGTACTAATATAACAATTTTCCTTAGAAATATCCGCAGATGTGGCAACAAAGGAGTTCAAAAAGGAAGAGACAAACAGAGACTTATTATTTACTTCTGGTTTTTCAAAGCTTCTAAGTCGAGCCACAGCAATGCAGCAGCACTCAAGCAGTTGAGTGGCAGAATACACATTACTATTAGAGTCTAATGAAGCTATCTGTTCATGTCAGATAATAGCAGCTCTGCAGCCAGGCCCATTGCTTCCAATTTACATTTCTCAACAAGCCAAGCCCACATCTCAAATTGAGCTGAGCGAAGGAATTTGAGTGCAGAAAATTAGACAGCTCTCATATCGCAGGAAGAGAAAAAAAGGGCCCTTCAGCTGCACTTCGCTTGAGGAATCAGCACCGATGCACATACAAATAAACGCAAATAAATTTCCCCATCAAGGAAACAATGGGAATACACAAGTAGAGATGCACAGATACCAGCTACAAAAATACAATAAATATACACATAAATAGATAAAATGATGCACACAGCTTCATTGTTGTTGTGTTTTGTGGGTGTGTCCTTTGTTCCTGTGTCAGTCAGTTAGTCTTTGTTCAACAAAAATTAATGAAAGTGAGATATTTCTCATGTTGTTTGATTTACTTAAATGTCTGAGTCAAATGACAAAGTTGAAAGGATTTAAATATCAATATATATTTTATGAGGTGAATTTGAATGGAAACACTCAGATTTTATAAATTTTTCTCACTCAAAATTCTGTATTTGAAGCTCTTTTCTGGTCGTACAAATCTTGCTGGAAATAATAAATGCACTCACTATCCATCCACCTTCATGAGGGATGGCATGGAGGCAATCAACTCGCGGCTCTGATGTGACGTTAAGGAAGCCCAGGTTGTTTTAATAGTGGTTTTCAACTCCTCTCAATTTCTCTGTATTGCTGGTTCTGATATCTCTTATCTTCCTCTTCCCAAAACTTGACAGATTATGGGTTTTGGTGAAGTTCATTCAGGTTTTCTGGCCTTTCAAATAAAGCTTTGCCTAAGTTCCTCAAGCAGATGTCTGAACTTTGACAGTGCCATCACGTGTCAAGTCCTTCTTAAAAATAAACATCTGAAAGTTTGTCAGCAAAGGTACTCTTGAAATGTTTCAAAATGTTCTGGTTGGTAGCTGAGCTTACTTTGGACTTGATACAAAACTATGAACCAACAAAGTAGATTATGTTCCTCCACAAATAATTATTAACTTCACAACTCTTCATTGGGTGTGCTTCAAATCTTTTTAAGTTTGATTATCCCTGCCCCTTGTGCACATTTTCTACTCTACTTCTTTCCTCTATTTAACTTTTTATTGATGTGTTTTGATGCAGCAACCTGTGATCCTGTAGGTATAACTCTCAAGTCAGTGGTCTTCTGTATGATTGTGCAGACCAAAATTTATTTTTAAAAATTATGTCATTATTATTTTTCTTATATACTATTACTGTTTTCCTAATAAACAAGATTTTTGGGCATTGTCACATTTGAGCCATTGTCAAATTTAAACACACCACTGTCAAACACATGAGTTTCCCTGCTTGAATTTGGTAATAAACATTGAGAAATATTCAAATACATCAAAATGTACAAGTAAATATGTGTGTATATTGTTACCATTGGCAATCAGGTACTAGATAAAGTTCAAAATTTATAAGGTACATATTGTATGTTCTTGTATGCAGTTGTGCCCAGAGCTACATGTGCATAAATTTCGCCACAAGTTTTCTGCTATGATTGTGCATGAACCCTCAAACTAACACAAAATTAGACTGTACACAAAGATTTGCTGACAGTCTTTGCGCTCTCTCTCTTTCACACACACACACATAGATCCACAGAGTCAGTTAGCAAGCTAACGTCAGCCAAGAATATGGCCCCTGCCCCATCAGGGAATGCTTCTAAACGGGAGTATTAATAGCAAACTCAGCCAGCCTGTCTGAGAGGGCGCAAAACATCAGAGGTGGAAACAGGTGAATCAATATATAAAAAGCAAACCAAGACCACTGTCTAAAAACCCACAGTGTGTAAGCTGAACCTGACAAATGGAGGCGGTCAATGACACTAGATATATGATGATTGTGAATGCTGTATAATCACATATCTGGTATTGCCCGGCGTAGCATATGTTGAGCAGGGAAGCGCAGGCACGTAAAGGGGGAGAGGGAGAGCTCATTTTGATGTTCTCATAATTTAGAGCTGCTGATTTTTCCAGCACACATTTTAATTTGAGCTTCCCCTGCAACTAGTGCACAGCTGATGAACATGCAGAGGCAGACTAAGGGCATCAAGATGTTGATCAGGCGCATAGATTGGAATAGATTAGAATAGAATAGAACAGAATAGAATGTTTCTGTGTAGGATGTGAGGGCTGGCAGGCCGCACTGCAGGCAGAGCAAGGCGACTTGTGTCTGTGTTAAAGGGTGAAGTGTTCACCTCCCATTATGAATTATTCAAGAGCAAAGTCGCTCTGTCTGATGTTGTTGCTACTTGCCCAGCCCCTCTGTCCCCATTCTTTCTTTATTTCATATTCTTTCCATCTTTCTCTCTCTCTCTCTTTCTTTCTTTGATCCCATCTGTTTTCACACTTTATGCCTTATATTTTTTGGCCTTACTGTGAAAACAAAACCACTAGCACTGACATAAGTATGTTCCTCTGCATACTGTGTACAGCATGGGGACATGCAGTTTCTACATAATCGTTAAGTTTCACTCTGATGTTAAGCTGACGTTGCCAGTCTTCCTCATTTGGTGAGCACACACAGTGGCTTACAGCACACACAGAGAAGCTGGAATTTATTTATTTATTTATTTATTTATTTATTTATTTATTTATTTATTTATTTATTTATATTATTAGCCTATTATTATTATTTTGTGAGTGCACTAAAATTTCCTGCAGTTCTGAAAGGTACCATAGCTCACAAACGTTCACGCGTCCCAGAGGGACCGCAGCTCTGGGCTCTTCGGGGCGAGCAGCTAAAAATACCCGCGGCCTCCAGGCGTCCCGCAGCGGGCCTGTACCTCACACCACCTGAGAGGACAAGCTGCGCCAATTCACAACTTTTTCTTTTTTTGTTTCTTCTTCCATCAGTGATGAAAGAAAGAACCGCGACAATCAAACGTGGCCTACAACTTGCATTGTTGAAAAATAGATAAATAGATATCACCTTACAACTACGTCGAAAGGTTTCAAGGAGATCGTCGTGACCTACTAAAGGCCACACGAGTCCATGAAACAAACCAAAAAATAAAAAAAAATAAAGAAAGAAAAAGTAAAAAGCGGTCGAGCCAAAGCGGGACATGGGGAACGAAATTAGAAAAAAAAAACTTACATTTTCTCTCAAGGAGGAAGAACTAAATAAATAGAAAAGGTTTCATTATCGTTTGCTTAATCTGTGATTACATGTGGCTTCCTGCATAAACATGTGTATTTCATTTGGAAGTAATACTGCAACACTTCGTAAAATCTGTAAAAAAAAAAAAAGGCATTTTCTAAAAAAAAGAAAAGGTCCATCCCTTCTAGACCTTTTGTTTTTATTTTTATTATTCTCTACCAGCTAAATTGCTCAGTAACTGAGAGATCGCGGAATATTGCTGTATAACAGGCATATTTAAATGAATATCCAATCTACTGCAGGCAGGATATGTAATTACCAGCGCGATGACTAAACACTAACTGCCCAAATATAAAAATAAACAAAAGCACCTCCTCACAGAGGCACACGAAACAATAGAAAAGGAGAAAAAAAACTTTCTTTTGTGATATGGCAAAAGTGAAATTTTAGAATTTCTTCATCATATTATTCAAAGTATTCATAAACAAGGTTTATATTTACTAACATAATTATGTTTTTTAATTTGCAACACTTTCCACCTCTATCTTACATGGACGCAGCCATAAGTAAGGTGAAGCAGCTTGTAGTGGTTTTGTTGTGACTTTGGACCATGAGTTTGGTTACTCATAATGTTAAGTCAATGCTGATCGTGTGCTTTATGAATCAGTGGCATGCGTTCATCACCTCTGCTGCGTGTTTTTGATCGCTGGGCAGTGGCCAGATCCGTCGTAATGATGGACGCTGTTTTACATTTTGCACTTTCACTGTCGTGAGCTGCTTTTCGTGTTGAAAATATGTTTTCACCCAAACCATCAGCTCCTGATGTCTGCGTGTATTTCTGTAAGGACGCAGCAGCTCCACGCTGACTCGCCCTGGCAGATTTATGAGATAGAAAACTCTGTTAATTGACGTAATTGCCTAATTTCTGGCATGTTGTGCTTTTAACTCTCCACACTCTGAAGGAGTTGGCTTTGATGCGTTTATGTGTATGCGGTTTTTTCCACGAATACCGAATGCTAAAAGTGTCTTCTCAGGAAAAAATAAATATATAACACACACACACACACACACCCCTCCCCCCACACACACACACACCCACACACACACACACACACACACGCCCTCCACTGTGATATATTGTTCTTATATTTTGTGGAGTGTTAACTCAGTTTCACTAACGTCAATACATCTCATGAACACATTTCAGTACTGATATCTTGCGCCATTGAACAAAGTTCCTCGCGGAGTCTGAGCTGTTTGCTGTAGGTCTGCACAAGCGTTTGGTTTTTATTCCATTTTGTCACGCAGCATATTCTCCTAACTCACGCCGTCAAGGAGCGACCATAAATTACATCTAATGCTCTCTCCTCTCCTGCACTGCTTCATACAAACGAACCAGAGTCCGATCGCCCCTGACTCTCTTTTGTATTTTCTAAAAAAAAAAAAAAAAAAAAAAAAAAAAAAAAGTTTTATGACATTTCAAAGCGTTCAAAACCAAAATCAGTTTCGGCGAGATGTATCTGTCTTACAGACTAACCTCGGACTTCACAGGGAGACTTTGCCCAACTCTTGAAAAGTACATTTTCAAGTTCACTCACTTCACAGTGATCTCAAATAGGGAGACCACTGCGTGGCCTCAAACTGGAGTTTTCAGAGAGCGACAGAAAAATAAAACATCATTTGTGAATCTCTCTAGATATGACTCGTATATCTGATACATTTGCTTTTTTTTGTCTTTGATCAACCACTTTCCTATAAAAAGTTGAAACTATCTGCACTCATTTGAGACAACATTGAGTTAACTAAACAAAGCGGTATAAATACAGTGCATAATTACAGTATTTAAAAACTCTTAACCAACTATTATACGTTGTCCTGCTAAGATTGCTTTCCGACTTTAAAAGTGCTGCGAGATGAGCATCTTCAATAGTTGTCTGACTTTAGCTTCTCTGCTCGGCACAGATAGACATCGGACCAAAATATAGCATTTTTGAGAATATACACTGTTTTAAGAATTTTATAAAGCTTGCCAATATAGTAAAAAATCAGCAATTGACCGTTTTCAAAGTCTTTATTTTTGCTTATGAGCGTCGTTTTTCAGACATGGGGATGAGACAGTGCAGACTTATAGGACCCGTCTCATAACGGGCGATAAACTTTCACAGGGACAACTGAGCATTAACGAGTTTGATGAGAAGGTAAAATCCATGTGAAAATTTTAATTGTTGCAAAGCCTTTTAGCTGTTATAATGTATATGTTCACAGTGGCTTGCAAGTATATTTTGGGATCAAAATATGCGTTTTTTTGTCTTTTTTTTTTTTTTTTAAGAACAATCCTGTGCGTTTTTACGCACACTGCGACTGTGCTCATCCTCTGCTTACTGTCCGAAAATGAAGTTCGGCTCACAGTTACCCTGTAACTGGGGCGTTTACCCCAAATGGATTAGTGGGTAGGCAGTAACCGACAGTTAGACACGAAGAGTTCCCTTGTATCTCCGTAACAACTCCCAGAGGTGCGCATTGTGAGCTTTTTCAAAAACTGACCTTCAATTCATGTCGATTTAAATCGACATGAATTGTTATTAGTTTTGAGACTAATAACAGTCTCAAAACTGCCTTTCACGCCCCCTGGTCGAGATCTATGTTCAGTTTGAACGTCCGTACACAGTTTGCGAGTTAAATGACGTCTCGTGTCTGTTGATGCCACACTGTCACATCCGTGCGCTTTGGATCATCTTCCTATTGTTGTCGCAGTTATTTGAACAGTGATCCGCGACGGGCGCATGGCATGCTGAGATCAGTGCCGAGGGAAGCGCACCATTTAAACACACACACAACACACACTCTCTCTCTCTTCCTCTCTCTCTCTCTCTCTCACACACACACACACGCACACACAGACTGACTGACAGAGTAGCGAGCGCTCACGTTGATTCAAATGTCCGCAGAGTTGCCTTACCTTCATTGGGGGGGTAGATGATGAAGAAAGCAGGGACAACGCAGGACATTAGAAGGTGTAAAATGAAAAGAAGTGATCGCGGATTGCAATCCATGGCGGCGGATCAGAGGTACAGAACTCCATGAAGCCACTGACTGGTCTGGGAACGTCTTCTCTCCACTCAGCTTTCCCCCCTCTCTCCTGCTCCGGCTCCCTTCAGCAAGAGCAGTTTTCCGCTGGGTCCTACAGAGTCAAACCGACAGCAAAACACAGCGCTCAAGTTCATCACAGGTCAAGCAGAAACTGAAGTCGAGAAGGAACGTTTTTTAGTTCTTGGTTTTATTTTACATTTTACCTTCATTTTGCATATTATGTTTTTTTTTTAAATGTTTGAATCGACCTAATAAGAAATACAACCTGGGATTCAGAGACTAGCTAAAAAAAATTGGAGTGACATTGGGATTGCATGATGCTGTTTTCTTTTACTGTAGCATCAATTTGGTGAGATTAGTGAAATGTTTAGTAATTCTAACTATGCATTTATGTTATATTATAGCTTCATGAGGTTAAGAAGGTTAATGCACAGCTAATGTCATAATATTTTGTGACAAGTGAGAACAAAAAGTCAGAGGTGGACTGCAGAAAATTATCATGAAATGTATCTGTCTATAAATGTAATGTTCAATCTTCTGTATCATTTAAAAAAATAATTCTAATAGTAAATATCAACACTCTAACTGAACCCCTAAAATTTTGGTTATTTACTTTAGTGAATTTCTGTGTGATTATTTGTGGCTACCGTCTTAATACCCCTTTGGAAAATTTCTGGAGGCAAAAGATCCAATAACCCCTGGATCTTTTGCCTTGATATAGGAATATTTTAGTCTGGCCTCATCAAATACATTAAGCATGTAGAAATGATTCTGACTTATAAATTAAGTTTACCAAAGACTAAATCTGCATAGAGTTATTAATTTATTTTTATTCATTTACTGGTCTTTATTTTCTTAATTCAAGGAATTTACCAACACTAGGCAGCAATGAAAAGGCAAGGGTGAGGACCTGTCATGAGGGTAGTGGTTGGTAACATTTTTGCATTATAGAAATAAGTTTAATTTGCTTAGCAACAATGCCAAAACTAGTCAAACCATGACGCAGATAATAAAAAACGTGTTTGCAATGGTGACTGTAGAAGTTCGCTAATATTTTAGTCCAAGTTAATGCTTTAGCTTAGCAGCTAGCTACTGTTAAAGTTAAACTTCCTAGCAGACTAATCAGGTGATATTCATAGTCATTTATGTCAGTAATAATATTTTGTAGTCTAGGGGCCATTTAAAGGCACAGCAAAGCAGCAAAAACATAAACACAATCACAGAACTGAACTTAATATTCAAAGAACAACACATATTAGCTGCTGTAACGCTTTTTTTAATTGAAATTCAGATATTTCACTGGTGTATTTACTCTGTTAAACATATTGATGCACTTCAATTCCTGCATTATCAACAACAGAATTCACAATCTTACGGTTAGTTTTTTGCAGTGACTGTCTGCTTTACGTTTTTCAACCCAATACTTTAACTTCTGTACAGTTGAAGGTTAAAAATAAATAAAATCTAACGAGTGGCTAAGGACTAATTTTAGGACTTTTTAGAAAAATAAAAACCACTATGTTATAGTTGTTAAAGTAACAACTACCTGTAATAAAAGTGATCCCAAAAAGTTCTTAATACATTTATTTACATTGCTATTTCATGAGATGTTTTGCTATGTTGAATCTGTGATATAAACTAAATTAACAAAGTGAAGCTGATATTTTAATTTTGTATTGGATGCATTTTTCTTACTACCAAGATAATATCTTTTTACTTGTCATACTAATTTCATGAAGGAACAACGTTTTATTCATTGCTATGGTGAAGGACATGTGATATGCATGTGGTCAGGTCTACTGTGGACAATTCTTTGAGAAGACCATTAGGGGCCCCCAACATCACAAAGCTTGATGTATCCTGAAAGGCTTGGGTGGCAGTATAACGTCAGGGCCCTTGCTGAGACACCAGCTGTTGTGGTTGGGGGTTGGAGCTGGAGGTTAAGGCAAGGCATGTGATCTATGGGAAAAGTTAAAGGACACAGCACACTGTGAACACAACAATATAGCGCCATTTGGACTTTGAGAACTCACTCCAAAATTCAAATGATTTCATTAGCTTACATATGGACAAAGACCACATATTTAACCACATATTAATCAACATTACATAAAGGATATTTTAATATATATATATATATATATATATATATATATATATACACTGTGTTATAAATATATATATATATATATATATATATATATATATATTTATATATATATATATATATATATATATATATATATATATACACTGTGTTATAGTGTTATAACTTAACACAGAAGTACATTTTTATGCTTTTCTGTCACATGTGTAGCATGACTGTGTGATAGATGCAGACTACTCCATACATCTAATTGTGCTGCGACAAATCTTATACTAACCATTATATTATAAATTATTTAAGGCTTCAAACAAGTTAAAAATCCATCCAATTTCTTGAAGATGATTGCTAAACCAGTTATGCAATTTTAAGCAAACAGTCCATGTTTTGAAATGTTCAGTTTTTTGTTCATCATCTGTGTATCCTGTGAGGTCAACATGTTCAAGCATTATTTATTTTTAACTGCAGAATTTTTACAGTGTATTTACTGTAAATCCTATAGACCAGCTACCTTAATAGCCAACAAAGAGCACCGACTGAAAGATTCACAGCTCTTGAGCTTGTGGTGAATGCAGAGAAGAATGATGCGAGTGCTCTCCTTGCTACATTATTAAAAGACTATGGCATGTGGATTTACAGCAGGTTTTAGACACGCCAGCCTTTGTCATACATCATCCTCTACATCCTACTAATTCACTTATTACACAGAGAAAAAGATTAATATGAGAGGCCACACAGCTAACAATCAATTCAGAAGATTGACATTCTGGCAATGAACGTGCCATGATTTATTTTTACAAATATATTATAAATGTAAGCAGAGAAAAGATCTCGATGCCATTGTAAGGAAAGCTATAGTGCACTGTAAATAGTTTCACACTTTAAGTTTTTCGCCAAATAGCTGTTATTATAATTAGATTATACAACATTCGGATGATTTTTTATTCTTTAGCTTTGAGATCACGATCGACCCTGTAGGTCGATTGCTGAACTGGATCTTGTTGGTAGGAGAGTAAAGGTGGGCTGAATACAAATACACACTCTTACTTTCTTAGTTCTTGTTCTTTTAAACTCATCATTTGTTATTACATTAAAATTTTGCACTACGTTGTATTTTGTTCATAGTAATATACATAAGTATATTGATATGTGGCTTTATGTCAAAATGTTAACATAGATTAAAGGGATGTGATTACTATTGCACTGTTCTTTAATTTAGATTTAGTGATTTGTTAGGATAGTTTTACTGTTTAGTATCACAAAAAGATTTGAGGTAGTTAAGTAACTGGAAATTGTGATTAACTACAATGTAGAAAATCTTTTTGTGACTCAGTAGGAAAGATCATCCCCAGTCATTTCTGATAATACCATACGAGTGACGTGGTGTGGCGCTGCTTTGAAAGAACTTTGAGCTGACAGCCAAAGATAATAAATTGTAATTGTTTTTCTTTGGTTGTCTGAGAAGCTATATCAATGCTTTTAGTCAATAAACCAAGTCAGTCCCAACTAATTGCTGAAAATCTGTTTCTTATTGCGGTGAATCAGAAGAATGTGATGGGTCACTCCCATCTACATTCACTCCAACATTTTCTTTTTCTACTTTTCTCAAAGAATGCTTGTCCATCCTGATCTCCTGCCAGTGGAACAATCAAGTACGAGAAGGAGGAAAATATTGATTTACAGCCACAATTCGAAGTCGTGGTGTGTCCCGACAAGGCTGAACAGCGCTCCAGACTCATGGAGCAGATGTTGTTTAGAAGCAGCTTTGAAGCTGCCATGTCCTGGCCCTCTTACACAGTAACGCACAAACAAACAAACACATAAGCTGAGTGTGTTTACTGCTCGCTGTCAGTGCTCTCTTCCTCCCTGCGGTTCTAAGGGCAGTGCATTCCTCCATACTTGCGGGGTTGCGAAGGAGGAGAAGCCAGCAGGCTGCTGGCATGTAACACTATCCCCCCACAGCAAACATCGTACTAGGAACGCTTTCATATGTTTGTCAGCGCCACAACTCTTCACCCATTTTTCATCTTTTCTTTTCCTTAAAGCACTATAGGAGATTCCGAATCTAAACAAAAGTCTAGAAACCATCACACTATTCAGGACTGGAACAATAAAACTGCTATAATGCTTTATGGGGTAATTTCATGGGAACATGTCTTGGTTAGATAAAAATACAAGTTTACTTCCATTTGACATAATGTTAAACTTATCTTGTTCAAAATCAGCTTGACTGAGTGTGACCGTTTATACGGAAAAGAAAATATTAAGTGCCCCTCTGTTTTTTGTATTTGGACCAGTGATCAATTAGGTTATGGTTCATGAGCAAATCCCCTCAACTCAGTCACTGAGAGATAGTCTTGACAGGACTGAACAACCAGCCATATCAGGGCCGGACGCAGCCAACTCTTTTCCTGCGACATCTCATCTCCCAAAAACCACATCGTATTTTTACACCTCGACTAGATTTTAAAGTTATGGGACTATTACTTTAATAACCAAAGGCTGACGGAATGGATTACCTACGCCAAAAAAACCCCAGCAAGGATAATCAGTGAGTGTTTGCACTTTTTCCATTTAGTTAATTATTGGCTTCTTATGACTCAAGAGGCAAAACACTTGTTTACATTGCATACGTCTTTTTTTAGTCACCATGAAATGTTATTTCATGTTAAAAAAATTTATTGACTTAGGTGCTACTTTTATCATGACATATTTATTACATGAAGGAGCCTTAAAACCAAATGTTAGAATCTACATTTAGTTACTATTTATTTTTAATGTCACTTTATGGTGTTATTTTAAAAATATATATCTCAGATCAGTGAAAGCAACTATAAAACAAAAATAATTTATGCTTGACCAGACTTTTTGTGAAATAATGTCAATTTTTCTTTATTAATGACCAGCATGAAACAGCATCAAGTGAAAAATTGGAAAAAAAAAAAAAGAAAAGGAAAGAGAAACACAACTACAGCTGTTGTAGAATTTCTGCTACTTGTATAATGGTCAAGTTAACAACAGCATAAAACTTTTTTT